AACCGCCAAATTCGAAGAGTCCGCGATATTTATGGCTGTTGGCAACGCGAGAAACCGCGAATTCCCTTATAGGCGCAATTATGAGACTTTTTGACAGCCAGGATGCCTGGTTTCTCTAAGCGCTCTCGTTTCCTTCTCTTCTTCTTACGAACGTGTCCGGAAAAGCATGCGTCTCTGATCACTAATAAAGAAAGGCTAAGAAATAACCACCTTGACCCATGGGGCCAGGTAGAGATCTGGACGAGTATGTGGGTCCGACCGGGTTCTAGGCAGCCACACCTATTAAAAAGTTCCGCTCGTCTTTTCGTAGTGAACTCTGCCCATGGCCCGATTAGAGCAATTACTGGGATGTTGCCAGTATATGTCCGTAAGCCTGACCTTTGTTCACCAGGCAGTGAATATTTACTGTTTATAGTATTTTACGATGCATTTTCGAAATAGGAGGAGCGGTTCCTTTGAGAAGAGCCACCTAAGGTACACTGAAATATTCAAAAAAAAATATTCAAGGACCACGACAGCGAAAATGTAAAAATGTTGACCAGTTTTGGTATTTGTTTAGCGAATTTTGTTTAGTCTTGGACGTTGATGCACTAAGGTCAGTACATTCAAGTGGCCCGTATGACACCAGGCACGTGCCTGTTTGGGTTAGGTGTTAGTAGGCGCGATGGAAAATATAGGACAGAATACGAGGAAAATTGAACTACCGGCGTGCTGCCAGATTGTTAGCTTGCATGCTTACTAAGTGTGTTAGTATTAAAGATTTTAATTTGGGAAGGGTATCTACGTTAGAGATTAGTGGGTACAAATCATTATAATTTGCACATAACACTCTAAAAGGTTCATGCAGTTCAAAGGAGGTCCTACAGTGGCGCAACACTAATGGGATATAGGATCTAGTGGTTCTACATGGTACATGGAAATTAAGCTGACTCAACAAGTCAGCACTTTCCACATCACCATGGATAAGGTTAAAAATAAAGGTTATCCCTAGCATCGTTCTACGATTGGCTAAGGACGGCAAGTTTATTAATAGGAGTCTACTAGAGTAGGAAGGTAATCTTTGGTTTGCATCCCAATTTAAACCGCGTAGAGCGAAAAGTAAAAAGTTCTTTTGAACCGACTCAATGCGTTTACTATGGACGCCGTACTGAGGGCTCCAAACGCAGCATCCATATTCTAGGATAGAACGAACTAAGGAAGTGTATAAGGATTTAGTAACATAGGGGTCATTGAATTCCTTCGACCACCGTTTAATAAATCCAAGCACACCCCTTGCTTTATTCACTATAGACGAAATATGATCAATAAAGTCAAGTTTTGGGTCCAAGCGGACGCCCAAATCGTCAACAGAATTAATTCTTTCCAAAGAGCAGAAGTTCAGCGTGTAAGTAGCAAGCTTAGGAACGACACGTGAGAATGTCATTAGCTTGCATTTCGAGTCATTTAAGTTTAATAAGTTTACACGGCACCAAGTTTGAAAATTATTAAGATCTGTTTGTAAATCCGACTGGCAGGCAACGTCATTGTATTGCACGCAAAGCTTGACGTCATCCTCATCCTCTAACGAGGAGAGAATGGTTAACAGAATCAAATGCTTTACTGAAATCAGTATAGATTACATCTGTCTGACAATTATTGTGGAAGCCCAATATAATAAAGGAAGAGAGCTCCAAAAGATTTGTTGTTGTTGATCTTCGCTTAATAAAACCATGTTGGCATGGAGAAATAACCGATCTACAAAGGTGCTGTAGGTGAGGGGTGATAATGTTTTTAAATAATTTAGGGATGGCCGACAACTTAGAGATTCCTCTATAATTGCTGGCATCCAATTTGCTACCTTTTTTGTGGAGAGGAATAATAAACGATTCCTTCCAAATAATGGGAAAGTGGGAGGTTTCCAAGGACAAGGTAAACAATTTCAGAAGGGGATAACACAGGGCGTCGGCACAATACTTGAGCACACAGCCAGGAATTCCGTCGGGAGCTGGCGAATAAGCTGGCTTGACACGATGAAGATCTAAACGGAGAGAGCTTTCGTTTAGGATAGCACAGAAAATTAAGTTTGATGTGGGTATGTCGTAGGAATAGGTCTGGTGTAGATACGAAGAGCTTGAATAGGTTGTTTGAAAAAACTGCGAAAATAGATCGGCTATTGCCTGATCATTATTTGCGGTAGTATTTTCAAATGAAAGCGAGAAAGGATTTGTTTTAGGCTTACGTTTAGTGTTAACGAAATTATAAAACTGTTTTGGGTCCTGTGAGAACTGGGCCCTACAACGAGTTAAATAGTTTTTATAACACTGCGCGTTCAGCACGGTGAAGTTTGACCGAGCTGATAAATAAGATGAAAGGGCAGATTGAGAACCGGTGAATTTAAATTTAGCATAAAGTCTTGATTTTTTATTTTTAAGTCGGCTCAACTCTTTAGTAAACCACGGCGGTTTATTCGAGCTTGGCGGATAATATAACGGAACACATTCAGTAAAAAATGAATTCATGGCAGTGTAAAAAATATCAACGGCAACTGCCATGTCAGTGCACATGTATAGATCAGACCAATTGAACTCGTTTATAAAATTATTCAACCGTTCAAAGTCCGTTTTGCGAAAACATAGGACTTTATTGGCTGGACGATCAGAAATATTCTGTACGTCACACCCAATATCAAGAGTCACATCGAAAGTTGGATGATAAGGATCTTCGGGCTGCGTCAGAGGAGCCACCCTTGCTAAACTGACACTCGCAGGATCAGAGACGAAGCAAAGATCGAGCAAGCGCTGTAAGGAATTTCGAACATGGTTGACTTGAGACAGCGAAATGTCAAACAAGCCAGCGATAAAGTCATGTTGTGTAGGTGTATGGAGAGTATTGGTGGAATTATTTGAGCACCAAATAGCACCAGGGATATTAAAATCTCCTAGAACTACCAACTGGTCTCTATCCAAAAGTCTACTGGAAACCATCTGAATAGCGGAAAGGTGATTCCAATAAATAGGAAGTTCCGACAGTGGAGGTATGTAGGAACAGGTAATAAAAATGGAGCTACCTTTGATAGATAGCTTCACACAGAGGAATTCAACATCGTTACATTCCTCGAAGGCTAATAATTCTGACGTGAGTGAGGAGTCCACCGCTATTAGAACTCCACCCCCGCGTCTGATAGGGCGATCTAGCCGATATACTGTGAACACAGCTGGAAAAACTTCGGAGCTCAGAATCTCCGGCTTTAACCAGGTTTCTGTGAGCACAATAACCTGAGATGCAAACGAAAGGCTATCAGAATACAAGTTAGGGAGCTTACTACGTAAGCCTCTTGCATTCTGATAGGAAATACCTAAGGAGTAGGTTAGTTTTTTGGGTGGGGATTGGAAGACGTAGAAGGCGCAGTGGTATCATCAGGCCTAGGAAGAGTTATTCCTACAGGCCGTTTTTTCTTTTTCTTCGCCTCGAACTCCTTAACAACGATGTACTCTGGCCAGAAGTTGGGAGAGCAAATAGTGTTAAAAAGCTCGTTAGGGACATTTATTTTGAAAGATGAAATGTCCCTTGCGTAAGAAAATTTGAACTTTTCCACCTTTATCTTAAATTTTTTTGGCTCTGGTTTTGCCTTGTATAAAGGCGAGAACATCTTCCGATGTTTGGTCAGGGGAGAGCAGCGAGACAAAAATATGTCTCGTTGGTGGAACAGCTACAAGGGCTTTTGGCAAGGCAGATTGGTTGGCAGATTGTCGGCCGGTATTCCGGGCCTAACACCCTGGGCAGATATATTTATGTGAACGGGACTTTGAGGGGTCAATATTTGCGACCCCCCAGGCGATAAAACAGAAATCACCGGCGGTACGGGCACTCCCGCTGCACATTCGGATACCGAATCTTTTCTAGCGCTCGATCTCAGCACTCTTGGAATTAATGCTGAGGTCGAGGGCTGTGCCGAGGGAGGCTGCTGCTGAGAGCCCGTTGCAGGTAGTTGGGGTTCGTCTACATGCTGCCCACCAGTAGCAGTTTTTTTGCGCCTAGGAGACTCATTTAATAGCGTAAGGCTATTAAATTGGGTGTCCAGCGCCAAGAACATATCAAGAGTTTTACGAAAACTCGTTAAAATGCCCTTAAAACCGCTTTTGGTTTGCCGCATGAAAGATATCATCTCCCTTTCTACATCGCGACAGGCCTCACAACAGAAACGCAGACCGATGTTTTTTTTTACATCGTCCACCGTCCGAGCTGCAACTCCAATACACTTGGCGTGCATGACGTTGTCGCACAGCCAGCAGCCGATTGTAAGGTCACCTGCAACAATTGCCTTTTTGCAGGCTTTGACAAAACAGACAATATTTCCGGACATTGTATAGACTTACCACTGTACTTGTACTTTGAAAAAATAAAAACAGAGCAATTAAGAAAGAAGTGAAGAGTCTCAGCGAGAGCGAGAGAGCGGGAGAGCGAATAAGTTCAGATTAGATAAGAAGTGCAGCGGCACAGCTAAAGCGAGAGAGTGAGAGAGCGTGTAAGATGGATAGATAAATCGTTTAGCTGTTGCGACGGCGCAAACAAAAGCTAGACGAAGAAGGCACAAAAAGGAATGCAAAATATGCAAAAGCTAACACTAGCAGCACAACTAAATTGGAAAATAAAGCCAATTATGTACACAAATTAGAATAGCTGCATGCACACGCGAAGTGAACGGGAAGTTATAAACACAAATTAGAAAATTTAAGTTAACCCCGGTGGTTAGAATCAATCTTTAATACAAAACGAGAGCGCAAGAAAAAAAACACGTCCGTTCATTTGGAAAGATGAAATGAGATTTATAAATTGAGGTTTATAAATTGATAATTAATTGATTACTAACCGTTCCACAACAAATTTATCAAACGTGAACCGTGAATTTACCTTACCTTATATTATTTAGAAACTGCCAGCTAAAATATTGTACAAACTATGCTATATGCCAATATAGCGGAAATCAAGAATAATATATGTTAGAAATATATATGGCAATTAAATGTTAAATTTATTAAGAAGAATTGATCATACATAAATATTTACTTGCTTATTAAGTCTAACATTTGTTTGATTTCGAAATCGCTCCACTTTAACTTGTTTAAGTTCATGCCCCTTCGTGTGAGTATAATATGGCGAAACTTCAATTTTTTTTAACACTATTTTATTGCCTAATGTATAGTGCATATAGTCAATGTCTTGAATTTTAGAGATTGGCGCTGGCTTACAAAATGGAATTCCCTTTACCTCTGAATAATCACCTTTTGCTTTTTGCTGTTGAACTATGTTTAAATCTGTTTCTGTAGCAATATCTTGAAACGATTTTTGACGCATAAGACCTATAAAAAATGCCTTAACAATATGTTGTAAGTTGGTGGATCCTTCAATCTTGGCATGCAAGTCCCTTATACCTATAACTTTACAAATGGTTTTTATAGCCCGATGGCATATTAATCCGTATCCATCAGGTTTTTGAAAACAATAGATTTTGGTTTTTCCAAAAGCTGTAAAAAAGTCATGGTAAATAGTTCTGTTTTCGCAAAGACTTATATTTATAAGTTTTTGGCCTGCTCGATTTTTTGACATTCGAAGAGCAGTTCTTACTTCTGGAGCCTTTACGGTAGCAAATCCTGCTAAGCCGTTTCCATTTCCAGTGACGGACAAGACAGAATACCTTCGTTTTCTTCCCATATTTCCTTTCATAATAAAAACAATTTTGTTTTCCAATACTCGGGTATCAAATGAAGTAAATTCTTCTTCTCCAACATTATCAGGTGGTCCAATACTTCGTCCAGGCATTTTACTGCCAGACCATCCACGATCGAGCGGATTTAGTTTCATCAACCTGAAATTTCCCATCGAATCACGGAATTTATTATCTCCATATTCACTTTCATTGTTTTCAACAATTTTTTGTTGATGGATGAGCTCATTTCCACGAAACACTGGAGAATTTAATCCGGGCCATAGGCAATTCTTTTTTCCGAAACCAATGGTTTGCCCCCTATTCAGGTCTTTGGCTACTTTCTTTCCACTTCCCTTGCCACGACCTCTTTTTTTCCCAGCGTTACTAACTGCAGTCACTCCACGCCAAATATCTTCCGCAGGAACTGAAAATAACGTATATAATTTATTTTGAGTTTTTCTTATAAATTTATACTATTTAATATATGTATACCCTTGTCGGGTATTATAATTTCAGTCAGAAGATCTTCGGCACACCAAAGTTTATACACCCTTGCAATGATTGAAATTTGATCACTAGGAATTAATATATATAAATTATATATATTTTTGTTAAAAAAAAAAAAATAAAGCAATGCCTGATTTCATATCATTCTCCTATTTATATAATATTTACAGTTTTACATTTTCCTATATATCTAACGATCGTTTGTATGTCAGATATTTGATATAGTCGTCAGATTTGCATACAACTAAAACCAAACTTCAAGAATAATATAAAAGTATAAATTTAATAAAAACTGGAAAACTGAAAGTTAAAATTTTTAATTGTATTCATTTCTCGATCCCTCCTATGGCGGCTAAATGATATTGTAGTCCGATTAAAAAAAAATTTCACAAAATTCTAGAATATAAAACTGCTGAATCTCAAATGGAAAAAGTAAACATATTTTTTCTAAGAATTTTCCGATCGTTCTTATAGAAACTATATGAAATAGTCGTCCGATCCGATCCGATAGTTACTCTCACTAGAGTACCTGGCCGTACGGCTAGATTATATATCTGCCATAAGAACGATCGACAAATTTTATGAAGAAATATTTTAACTTTTTTAGTTTTCAACACATTTTCATACATGTAATGATATAGACATTTTGTATAATTTTATTTTATGAAAATCGGATCTCTGTATCAATAGCTGTCATAGAAACTTTCGAAAAATTAATACAATATTTTTTATATAATATTTTTCAGCATATTTTCATCTCTAAAAAAAAGTAATTTTCAATTTCTCAGAACCTCGATTTTATTTCAAAAAAAATTTTCGTACATCAACGTTAATGGACGTGTTTTTTTCTTGCGCTCTCTATTTGAGTTATTTTTCATTAAACCACCGGGGTATAATTAAATCTTCTACTTTTTTTTACAATAACTTCCCGTTCACTCCGCGTGTGCATGCAGTTATTCTCATCTATATACTCTTTTGAGTTTATTTCTCAATCGCTGCTAGTGCTTTTGCATATTATGCATTGTACCACGTTTTATAGTGACTGACGTTTCATGTCAAGTCACACGGGAACGCTGTCGAACGGGATAAAAAGTATCTTATGTCAGTCTCCTGGCTCTAAGCTCCAATTTTAAATTTTTCGCTACTAATTTTCATCCAAAACTGTTCTGCCGTTCTTGAGTTATTAAAGGCGTAACTAACACGACTTTCTTTTATATATATAGATCTGTTATATTATATTATTTCTTTGTCAATTGAATTAAATAATTCTAAATACACATCGTATAATAATGAATTTACATGATTTTTTTTTAATTAGCATAATTAATATATTCAATAATTTAAATATGGTCAATTTTCAAGAATGGTCCACCGCGGGGAAAAAAATTAAGTTTCGTAAAATCGAGTATTTTTAACTTGCCGATATAAAAAAAACGCAATTTATGTTATTTAAAAAAAAAATGCATAAAAGGCATGTTTTGTTTTAATGCCAATCTCTTAAACAAAAAGATTTGCTTTTTAATATCACACAGAGAATGCAAAGAGTCAATATTAAATGCAAAAGAACGTATGCGATTACCAATATTCGTACAATTTTAACATAATTTATCGGCTTCCAAAATTACGCAAGCGACCGGGACTAAAAATTATTGCGAATGCAATACATTTTATGGAATATCTTGAAAACGAACAAGGGCCCAAAACCGATCTTAGCATCAATTATAGTGCTAACCAAGAGCTGCAAGCTTCAAAGTTTGTAAAATTAAAATAAAGTCTCGGCACATGTTTTTTTGTTGGTTTTAATGCGTACAAATGTCGCATTCGACATCAGAGAATTACCCATATATAATATACATGCAAATTTATATATTCTGGATGTACATTTGATTTGAAAATAAAATTTAGTTAAATGATTTTCTGAAAATAAACAAAAAGCGCCATAAAGTCTACCTCTACCTAACTTACCTGAGAAGCAAACGAAAGAGTATCAGAATACAAGTAAGGACGCTTACTACGCAAGCCTCTTGCATTCTGATGGGAAATACCTAGGAAGGTTAGTTTTTTGGGTCTGGATTGAAAGACGTAGAATGCGCAGTCGTATTATCAGGCCTGGGAAGTGTCGCTTGGAACTCCTTAACAACAACGTACTCTGGCCAGAAGTTGGTAACGCAAATAGTGTTAAAGAGTTCGTCAGGGACATTGTGACCGAACATTAGTGTCAATAACTTTCTTTATTAATTATTTTATTCTGTTCTTAATTGTTCAAAATACTGTTTTATACTTTTTTCTTGTGTTGTCTGTTCTTTACTTTTACACGTCTTATCTTATTCGGCTCTTCTTAAACAGTCATCTTCCGCTCGCAGTCAGCTTCTCTTCAACCCCTTATTCTGAGAGAGGCCCATCCTCGAGAGAGTAACATGCTCTCTCGAGAGAGCGCATCTCAACGAATAGTGTGCCCATAGTCTACTTATATTAATTGGCCTGTTACATCCCGGCCGGCCTGACATTGAGACAGCCCTCTTTCTCTGTCTTGGTATTAACTAACTTCTATAATTACAATTTTTTATAATATTTTACAATTTTAAGTTTTGTTTTCTTTGCTTACTATCTATAAATTACAAACTTTATATTCTATTTATGATTATATCCAAGTTCTATTATTATTTACACTCCCAACACCTTGATATGGATTGCGAGACAACTGAAACACGTTAATATCTTTAAGCAAATATCTGTCATTTTTTAACACTTTTTCAATCACATAAGGACCTTTATTGTTTGGAATGAGTTTTCTCGATGCTCCCACAGTGCTATCAAAATTCTTCACTATAACATAATCTCTCTCCTTATAATCCGACGCAATGTTCTTTTTTGCATTGTAGTATTTTTTAATCTTTATTTGAGACTTTTTTTGTACCTCTTCAGCATCTTTTCTAAGTTCTTCTAAATTTTTACTAACAATTTCTACCTCTTCTTCGCCTTCCAATCTCTCCTCTAATTCATCACAGACATTTTCTTTTTGTGTTATTCCAAATAATGTTTCACTAGGGCGCTGCCAAATACTGCTATGAATTGTGTTATTCATAGAAAACTCTACTTTTTTAATAACCGTATCTCAATGTACTCCCCTTTCCGGCTCCTTCAATTTTGCAATCATAGGTCCTAAACTTCTATTAATTTGTTCAACCTGGCCATTCGCCTGTGACGATCCCGTTGCTATTTTTATGTGTTTAACATTACTGATTACCATAAATTCAGCAAACTCACCAGACGTAAAACAACTCCACCGATCTTATATTACACTCTTCTGTCTACTATAAGCTCGAAAATAATCCGTCAACGCACTTATTACTTCTTTTGTATTCTTCGTCTTTGTTGTGTACAACCTAACGAACTTTGTAAATGCATCTACAACCACAAATATATGTTTTTTCGATCTGCTACTATCTACCGGTCCATAAAGATCTATATGAATGACCTCAAAAGGCTTTTTGCCTTTTGGTATACTAAGTAAAGTCCATCTCCTTTACCTACTTTCGGAGATTTTAAACAATTTTGAATGTGCTCTATGACTTTATACTTCATATTTGGAAACCAGTAGCTTTTCTCAATAACATCTAACATTTTATCCCGCCCAATGTGACCCATTTCATCATGATATTTGTATAATATTCCTCCATTCGATTCGGTACGTAAAATAATAATCTGTTGCCGTTACTCTTCTTATAAATCACGCCATTTCACATTTCATATATCTTATGCTCGCTCCTTTCTAACATTTTCCTAATTTTCTGAACCTTTACATCTTTTGTCTTGTTTCGAATATATTTTCCTCTACCATCATAATGTTTTTGCATCTACTTAATGCATCTACGTGTTGCATTCGTCTACCTGCTCTGTGCTTTAATTCATAATCGAAATCCTGTAACTCTAGAGCCCACCGTGCTATTCTTGGATTCAACTTTTTATTGAGCGTTAAAGTTAACGAGTTGTAATCTGTTACAATTTTAAACCGTTTTCCCAGCAAAGTCTCTAACTCAAAACTGTGGTAATTCGCTTCCGTCGCCGTCGATCTTTTTAAAAAACAGAAAATAGGATGTAACTTGCTGTCTTCTTTCTTCTGCAGAAGCACAGCCCCAAATCCTAAAGCGCTTGCATCACAGTGAAGTTCGATATCATCTCTGTAATCGTATATAGCTAATACTGGCGCTTCCATTAATTTCGCCTTTAAAAGCGAAAAACAACTCAACTCTTCATCTTCAAACTTAAACAACCTATCCTTTTTTAATAAGTCACAACGGTTTTGCTAATATCGAAAAATCCTTAATGAAACGTCGAAAATACGAACAAAGACCTAAAAACTTTGAACTGCTTGAACTTTGCCTGGAATCGGAAAATGTTGTATAGCTTCTAGACCCTTGCTATCAGCCTTAATCCCATCTTTCGAAATCAGAAAACCTCTTCTAAACTCTTGCAACTAAAATATCGTCCATATATATAATATCGTCCATATATATAATATCGTCCATATATACAATATCGTATATAATATCGTCCATATATACAATATCGTATATAATATCGTCCATATATACAATATCGTATATAATATCGTCCATATATATAATATACTAGCTGTACCCTGCCACGTTTCTCTTAGGCATATTGTGGTTGCACGCATGCGTGATACCGTTGAGATTTTTCAAATACCGGAAAGAACTGGGACCGGCCACATTCACCAACAGCATGCGAAGGAAGAAACATTCATCTTGATTAGGATGCACTCTTTGAAGATGCCAGGTTGTCCTTCGACGGGCTCGCCTCGTTTTCGTCGCGCGAACACTTTTTTAGTGGCATTCCACGTATAATAAGGGGCACTTCTGAATACACCAAGGTTCTGGCAAAATCATCTTCCTG